ACAATGAAGCTTTTTTTCTACCTGGCATTTTATGAATTTAGTAAAACTTCATGGCAAAATATATGGTGCATCATGGAAAATTCTCAAATTAAAACTACCTGCATCAGAACACATCTTAATGAGAGTTATTTCCACAACAAATTTCATTTTGTGTTTACTTCTGGTCATTACAGAGATAGTTTTGTTCAAAGGGAAGTCACAAGATTTGGGATAGAATTTTCAATTTCTTTATTTGCTCAAACTTAATGACAAGAATTCACAGAACAGCTGCAAACAGATACATCTGCAGCAACCAAATTGCATGCATACACAGACCAAATAATCTATTTGAAATTTGAGTTCTGTTAATATGATGCCAACAGAATCTGTCATAACTGAGAATACAAGATAGAACAGGAGAGAGAGAATACCCATCAGATGAAGGTAAAGTGATCAAAGCATTTGTGGTCAGAAGCATACAGGAATGGATCATTAACAGGAATACCAAGTTTGGAAATTGCATATTCTAACGTGTTACCTGGTGATGGAGTCATTCATTGTTTGTTTTGTTTCCACCTCTCTACCATCCATATTTTCATGTATGTTGGGTTTTTTTAGAAATAAGGTTATAAAAAAACCCCACTGATTAACAAGAGCATCTACACTGGAATCAACAAGTATTTCAGACTAAGAACTTCTTAACACACACGCTCTTCATCAAAGCATTTCAGTCACATGAGCACAAGGCCAGGAAAGAGCATTGGAGTAAGCTTGCTATTGTTCTACACTGCTGGTTCTCCCAACTTTTGTATTGTGACCCCTTTCACACACTCTCTCCTTATAAAATACCAACTCCCACTACCAAAAAGATCAGAGGAGCTATTCTTGCAATCATTCACACTACACTCTGAAATAAAGAGGATCCTGAGGAAAAAAACAAGCTAAATATTTGAAATATGCACCTTTACTCTTCAGAGGCTCTGCCATTTCAGTGCAGCAAATTCTTGAAACTTCTTTCCCACTCTGGTTTATCTGAGGGTCCTCCTGAAATAAAGGAACAAGTCACTAAGATACCAGCAACACCCGAGACTGACTAATAATAGTTTTCAGAGACTATTACTAAACTTCAGGGACTGTACCTGCTCAACCAGTCCTTGCTCTGGACGTAGAAAGTAGATTTTGGGGGTGAAATGGAGGGAGAAAGTCACACATTCAAACACATTTAGGAAGGTTAATAAAGGCAAATAAACAAACTGTAAGCACTTAGCATGGAAACTTTCCTTCCTTTCTGAAACACTGTTGAAGATACCATATTGGTCTTTCCTATCCTCAGGGAGAGAGGTATGTCCAGAGAAGATTTAAACTGAACACCAATAAAGTCTTGGCAAAGTAGCACCTAGAGCAGTAAGTCGATTTAAATACAATGAAAAGTGTCCCAATATGAAACAGAATGATAATCATTCATTAAACCCCAAATCAATCATAATCAATCATAATTCCCCTTAATAGAATCCCTTGTACAGGTGAAAAAAATATGCAGAAATTACCCTACTCACTGAGTTACCAGTTTCTATTTGGAATAGTTAACTATCAAAACCTTAATCTCTTCATTTTCTGAGTACTTTAACGGTACCAATTTACTATTACATGAATAGTTTTATGCACTACGTTTCCTAAATTTTGTTGAGGGATGAAGGAACACACAGGAGTACACATTCTTTAGATACTACTGTTTCTAAGAATGGCACACTTCTTTAAAATGCACCACTGAAATATGGACAGTTCAAGAAATTTACATGGAACAGATGTACTGGAGTCTCCCTGTACTGGTTAGATGGACTAGGGAGAAGTGTGGGGAACCATGTCTCAGGACTAAGAAGGTTATCCCTAGGACCATCCTCCATTAAGAGGAGGGCTCTACAGAATTGCCTAGAGTTTCCCAACCTATGGGTCAGGACCCAAATATGGGTTGCCATTACATTTCAAAAGGGTCACCAGGTGTCTCCCCAGGTGGCTCTTAAGGAGCCAGTCACACATTTTTTGAATTGCCCTGGGTCACCAAGTCTTCCTGAATTGTCAAAATGGGTCCCCATCTGGAAAAGGTTGGGAACCGCTGGGGTAGAGGCTCATTTTCTACCCAGAAGGGTCAATGAGCAGCCTGGTAACCTAATATCCAGTCATCCATTTAAAAAGAGTACAGCGTCAACAGCCACTAACTTGGATGTTGGATATTTAAACAGATCTATAATCATTGAGCATGCACTCAAGATTAACAAAATCCTGAGAGTAAGATATGGAATGGCTGAGCAAGGAGACAGCAGCTCCAGGTTAAAGTCTACAAAAAACATGCTGTTTTCTGACAGTATCTTCATTAGCACTCACATCTATTCATCCTTGTCTGGCTCAAAAACACATTTGAGAACTTAATTCAAACTTAAAACTAACCACAAATTTTAGAAAAGAATTCAAAGTCTTATCTTGGACTACTGATGAACCATGGGAAAAAATTAGAATCACAGAATACTAGAGCTGGAAGGAACGTCAAGAGGTCAAGTCCCTCTGACTATAACAGAGTTAAAAAAAAAAAAAACACACTAGATAAATTCATGGAGGTTAGGTCCATAAAAGGCTATTAACTGTGGGGTAAGGAATGGTGCCCTTGGCCTCTATTTGTCAAAGGCTGGAGAAGGATGGCAGGAGACAATCTGTTTGATCATTGTCTTTGGTCCACCCCTTTGGGGCACTGGCATTGGCCACTGTCAGAAGACAGGAGACTGGGCTAGATGGATCTTTGGTCTGACCCAGTATGGCCATTCTTATGAGTTCAATCCCCTGCCCTCATAGCAGAAACAAGCACTGTCTAGAATGATTATCCCTGATAGGTGTCTCTAATCTGCTTGTCAGTATCTCCAACGATGGAGATTCCACAACCCCCCCAGACAATTTATTCCAGTGTTTAACTACCCTGACAGGAAGATTTTCCTCGTGTCCAACCTAAACTAATCAGTACCGGGCAAATCAGTTGAAACAACAGTATAGAATAAAATTCTCAGACACAGAAAATAATTTATTGGGCAAAAGTCAACATGGTGTCTGTAAAAGGAAATCATGTCTTACTAATCTATTAGAGTTCTCTGAAGGGGTCAACATACATGTGGACAAGGGGGATCCAGTAGATATAGTGTACTTAGCTTTCCAGAAAGCCTTTGCCAAGGTTCCTCAAAGGCTCTTAAGTAAATTAAGTTGTCATGGATAAGAGGGAAGATCCTTTCATGGACTGAGAACTGGTTAAAAGACAGGAAACAAAGGGTAGGAATACATGATAAATTTTCAGAATTGAGAGGTGTAGCTAATGGTGTTCCCCAAGGGTCAGTCCTAAGACCAATCCTATTTAACTTATTCATAAATGATCTGGAGAAAGGTGTAAACAATGAGGTGGGAAAGTTTGCAGGTTATACTAAACTGATCAAAGTATTTAAGACCAAAGACGACGGTGAAGAACTTCAAAAAGATCTCACCAAACTGAGTGACTGGGCAACAAAACGGCAAATGAAATTTAATGTGGATAAATGTAAAGTAATGCACATTGGAAAAAAATAACCCCCATCTATACGCCAGCAAGGTACCCACACTACGTCACATAGAGATTCTCTAGGATTTAGTCAGGAGGAGAGGATGGAAGAGGATAAAGTATGGGCCAGATCAGACGAAAAACATTCACATAAAAAGAATCTGACACATCAGAAAAGGGCAGACAAATAAATCTGAGGAAGTGGGTCTTTGCCTAGGAAAACTTATGCTCCAATTCATCTGTTAGTCTATAAGTTGCCACAGGACTCCTTGTCCTTTTAGCACATCCAGAATAACACGGCTACCCTTCTGATACTTATTGCCCTTATAGAAATCCATGGTACGCCCACATCTTGAATACTGCATACAGATGTGGCCTCCTCATCTCAAAAAAGATACACTGGCATTAGAAAAGGTTCAGAGAAGGGCAATTAAAATGATTAATGGTTTGGAACGGATCCCATGTGAGGAGAGATTAAATAGACTGGGACTTTTCAGCTTGGAAAAGAGAAGACTAAGGCGGGATATGATAGATGTCTGTAAAATCACAAGTGGTGTGGAGAAAGTGACACCTCTCCTCAGCCCCAATGAAACGTTAACTATAATATATTAACGTTAAGACTAATACATATCAGTTTACCATTTAGCCATTTAATATATTACATCCCTAATTCACACCATACAGCTGATCTTAGAAGGTGCATACTAGGGATGTTGGATGTTATTTTAGTAATTGCGTA